GGGAAAAAAAGAAAAGCTACAGAGGACCTTAATACTAAAAGACTGATCAGTAAATTATTACATGATGACCATTCAAAAACATTCTGCCCAGTTTTCCTTAATAGACTTGATTAAGATTCAATTTATATACCCAGTGGGGATATTTAAAAATAGATGTTAATATCAAGTTCACTTTCCCCGGATTCCTCCAGATGGGAGAGAGATAAAGAAGGGTCTATACTACATACAGATAAAGTTAAACAGCTAACAAAAATGAAAAATGGTAGAAACTCAGAAAAAAATAATGAAGTCAGCTGCTCATCTTTAAATGGAGACATCACATTTTTTTTTTTACATCTCTCCTGCAATTGTTACATAAAAATGAAAGCATGTATATTGTATTACAAATATTTTCTTGAGATTTTTATAAAATAATTATTTTTAAAAACTTGGAAAAATGCAATGCATATCACAGTCTAGTTAATGAGAAAAAACATTCAGATCCCAAAGGGAAGAACATGCAAAGATATTTAACGAAGAATTAACAAGAAGGATGTATGTTCACAAATCAGAGAATACTGCAAATAAATACAACACAATAAAAATGTGTTTATCCAAAATGTATTTGTTCTTCAAGTCCTTAATAAAATTTTACAATTCAAGAATAAGGAATTAAGTGATTACCAATGTGTCAGACCAATTATAGACATGACCTAGCATACTGCATAGTCTCTTAGCATTTTGGCTGGTATGGCCATCTCTTGATTTTCTGCCAAAAATTGCAAATTCTAAGTCTCTAAATGTAGATGCCTTCATGACCTCAGACAAATTATTAACTTCTACGAATAAAACATTGTAGTAGTGTCTTTTGCTAGAATAGCATGAACAAGTAATACTATGTTACCGCAAATATCAAGAGGTACCAATGATTAAATTAAAACAAACCAATATTCCAAATAAACCAACATATCGACAGAGGGACTAATAGAATATTTCTGAATAGATTCCAGTATTGGGTTGACAATGGCAAATAAGCTTTGAGGAAACCTTTTTCTCCATGATTTTACCTGTCGGGCTACAAATATAAAAGGCAAAGCCCAGTGCAGTCACAGAATTTCCTGGGTTTCCTGCCCCAGTGACTGCTGAGCGAGACTGGGTTAGTAGCAGCACACTTGGGTTTATATTTAGGAGTTCCTAGGAGGCTTCCTCAAAAGTAGTTCAGGGCCAGAGGGTAACCAATATAAAAAATGTCTGACTTTGAAAGAGACAAGCCAGGCTACTTCTTTAATGAGGGAGGGCTCACTGCTACTGTCAGCACAGGAAGTCAACCAAAACCAATAGAACAGAGGGCACAAACCAGGGCTCTCATCCATGCTCAGAATTTGTGGAAAAAAAACAATTTTATTTGCAATTCTTGTTTCTATACTCTGCTTATAAATACTAAATGGTGAAGTTTAAGAAACTATTTTCTACATTTAATCTAGCTCAAAATCTCTAATACCAGGAGTTCACAAAAAGTTATTAGTAACTAATATTTATTTCCCATATTATAAACGGAATGTGTATCTTTAGACCAAGGCAGGTTGCTTTTGCTCTGCTTAGCATATTTTTTGTGTTCTTCAAAAACAGACTACTAAATCAACCACTGAAAATAAGACACTCACACTCCACCGATGACACGAATTGATCCAATTCCATGAAAGTCCCCATCATCTTTTAAAAAGTTAGGGACAGAATCTATATGTTCACTAAACTCTCTGGTCTGTCCATGGAACTGAGGTTTTTCATAAATAATAACCTGAAAAACATGAAAGAAAATTATTTAACACGCTCATATTTTAGCGCACTTACATACTGATTTACTGAAGTGGCACTAAAGACAACAGCCACAGGGACCACTGTTTTTGTCATTAATGCACAACATAGCAGTGTCTGATATTCACAAGCAATAAATGAGTATCATCATAAAGGCAAAAGATATTAAGAGTATACTTCTCTCAAATACTCAAGTATAATTACATTGTTCTGGGGCCATGACATAGGATAAACTGTTTTATAACTGGTTCTTGAATTATCTAAGTTTATCCTCGTGTTTAGATTTAATACAGACCTGCCTTATATTTAATTTCCTCCATAAGATATTAAAAACTCTCTAGAGGTTCTAGGGCATAACGATAAATTATCTACTGACTTGAGAAAACATGCTGTTTCTTATAATACTCATTGCTTTTATGGTCATTACTGTTCAGTGAGAGTAAACAGACATGCAAATTCTTGAATTTAAGTGTACAACTTCCTAAAAATAAGAAATGATTGAAAAAATTATAGTATTTTTATTCCATATTTGGTTTAAATTGGGGACAGGGAAATAAGTGTAGTAGGAAATAAATTTCCAGCATTTCATTCACTTCAAATTTGGATCTGTACAAGTATTTCTCTTCTACCATTGTGATGTTCTTCGCAAGGATGAGCTGCTTTTAGTACGTAGAAGTGGAAACAGTGGTAACAGCGCTAGTCTATCCATACTCTATCATCTGGTCCTATTTATGGCTAATGGCATAATTTGTGCGCAACTGGCAACCCATGACTGTGGCAAGTAAGATCTCATGCTAAAACACACTGAACCCAGCAAGTTATAGTTCTCTTATTTAAAAAAAAAAAAAAAAACAGATAAAACTATACAGACTGAAAAAAATATGTAGCACTACTCCTGCTGTTTTCTTCCTATTAAATTTTCACTGAGTGCTGTATTAGAAGTGATGAAGTTTTACTTGGGTTTAATACATGCTACGTATGCCGAACATATTCAAGTAAGAAGTAATTCTTTGATGAGTATGGCATAAACTAACGTCTAACAACTTGAAAATTGTGACTGTCTATGACAGCCATCCACTCATAAACCTCTGCAGCCTGTCAAACTGCAAATGTCCAAGGAAGATCCAACCTGTCACACCTGAAGTTTTGATTCAGCAGATGGGGAGACTGAGACAGCAGTCACTCAAGGAGTGTCACAGCTAATTCTGCATCTATTAGATCACAGATTCAAAATCTTGGATTTTACATGTTAAAATCACCCGAGGAGTTCTGAAAAATTTTGACCACACCCAAGACCAAAATGGTATCTCTGTGAGTGAAACCCAGGCATCAGTATTTTTTTAAAAAAACTCATATGTATGATTCTATCATACAGCCAAGATGTAATAGATACACTCAACTATTAAGTTCCAAAACACTCCATCTATGTGACTGAGAGAATGGTAGTCAGTTCCATAAATTAGGAAGCCCAAAAATGGGAGGGCTGGAGAAGCTGTGCTTTATTTTGGAGGAAAGGAAAAGAATGAACAAACCCGTCTCCACAGCTTTCCCTGGAGGTGCTGCGACCTAATGAAAAAGAGGTCTGTTTCCATCATTGGTCGCTGCACTGTTTTTCTTCCAATCTCTCTTTACACACATTTTATAATTCTATTTCCTTCTTTCTTTCCCAAAATGTGCTTAATTTTGGCACCACAACCACTCCAGTTTTCATTGCCTCTACCCCTCCCTTCAAATACTCATGCACAAAAAAACTGACATCTGACAAGAGCTATTACCACCTCTTGATCATCTTTGATCTCCTTCTTGAGCATCATTCCCAAAAGCCTGCTAGGTCTCTTCACTTGAATGTCTAGCTGCCACTTCAACTCCACCCCCCAAACAAAAATCAAACCTATCACCTTTCTCCCTTATTAGTAGGTGCTCATTGGGTTTGACCGGGTTGTCAGTACAGCGCTCCATCTCTGCATTCTTACCACTCCCAATTCTCAGCCTGGGCCCTCAGCAACCATTCTGTACAGCTGCTTCCCATCATCCCAATATCCATGAGCTAGGTATTATCAGCATATGTTCAGGTAATTGTTTTCTATTTTAATAGTTCAAAATACATAATGATTAATACTTAAACTTCTTAGCCTACTACAAAATCTATTAAAGACTTACCTTTAAGTTCATAGGCATTTCCACTTTCAATCCACCCTTAAGATGACAAGAAATTTTAACATTAGAATATTTAAAACATTTGAAAATAATTACATATGAATGTAGCTTATATAAAACTGATTAGTGAAGATTACATATCAATCAAGTTTAAGTTATAGTAAGTTTAAAATTTTAAGTATAGAACCCTACAGTAGTTAAAATACAGTCAGACTGTTCTACATCAATGGGCAAGAGGTATTAAAAAAGATACTTTACAGATTACAATAACTACAGGGAAGGCAACTGAGCTTTAGTCCTTACATACGTGTAAGGAATTAAAGATTTAATCCCACTACACAGTGTCTAAAAAAGAACAGTGGAATTGCTAGTAGATTTAAAAATCTTATTTGGTGGAGGTGATTTCTAAACGACTTAATACTAAAAGTCTCCTCTACAACTGCTTTCTAAATTAAGAGAGCACTTCCTCTTCCAAGTTGTCAATATTTTTTATCACATTTAATGTCATTGTGACCTCAAGGTTGTAGAATATAAAAGGTACTTCCCTCCTCATGAAAACCCTAATTCTATAATTTCCTTGTTTCTAATGCTATCTTACATTATATTTCTTAAAATTTCTTATTTGTCTTGCTTTTAATTTTTTAAAAGACATAAAACAACCAAAAATGGTTTATCACATAGGTTAAAATTTCATTAACAGTTTGTCCCTCAAATAAAAATGTTGGCAAGAAAATAAACGCTGCAACCACTTATCTTTAAGAAAGCAACCACTGACAGAACTGCCCATTTATTATTAATGCTGAGCATATCATTCATTACTACAATGGAAGAGTATAATCTATAAGTAATTTTTAATAAGCATCAAAAAAAAACCAAATTCAGAACTTTATTAAATATTCAAAATTCACAGCAAAAAAATTGCATGTACTGTGATAAACTTAGTACCAAGTAAATTCAGACATTTTTCTTCCAGGAAAAAATTTAAATGTTTTCACTGACATATTCTCTACAATGTAAAGAAACGGAGGAAAAAAAAAAACCAATGTATTAATAGTTTGATAATTCAGTCGTGTTCATATATGTTTCTCAAGATTGAAATGCATGAGCAATTATCACAGCTATTTAATTTTGGATTCATGTAAGGAATTAAAGTTGGGAAAAGTTTTTTTTTTTTTTTTTAAATTTGCTTACCATTTGAAGTGGATGCAATGATTTCATTTCTGCTGCAGAAAGTTCAAAGAGTCCATGGTCTTCCTCCAGAACTGTAGCTTGCCCCTTAAAATTAATATCTGGGTAGGCAAGCCAACTAAATAAGAAATGAATGGTTGGTTAAAGTATAGTCGGAATACCTGAGTCTGCTTCTCTAAAAGTTAAAAGGGCTACAAACAAAACCAAAAGCTCATTATAGAATCACACTAGTAAAACACACTCAAAGTGACTTCACCAGACAGCACATAACAAGTTAACATGTTATTAAGTGCTTACATTCAAATGGTACTTATAAGTCTATTCTGTTTTCCAAGCACTAGGCATTACTTTCTTAAAATTTTCCAATATTTAAAAGGTGTAAGCTCTTCAATTTAAGCAGACTATAACTGAAGTATCAATATCATTTCACTGAATTCCATTCTTTTTAAAGCTGCGGTGATCAGAGGTAGGGATTACCAGGTATTTTACATCTTTGATCTACATTTTTAGAATCGTCAGTTCTGTTGGCTGCCTCAGGAACAGTATTTGAAGTAAGATTCCCAAAAGACCCACCTAGCTTCCATCCAAACTTGATAATTACAGATATTTCTCATGGATAAGGTCAATTACTATGTCTATCCAAGAGTTCTAATCCATGATTGAGGAAGAAAGATGTTCTACAGTGACCTCAAAATTCCACACCACCATGATCAGGGCAGATGAAAAAAAGAGTGAATGAGAGAAGAGGGATCCATGTTGAACCAGGGATGGTTCAACCAGAATTTGTGATTCGAGCCAATCTGGGACGGAATTAAGATTGACCTGAGACCCACAGCTCTGAAGATACCTCTGGAATCACAAAGGCCTAGACTGAGATAAACCGCTTTACTTCCTCATGTATAACGTGAGAGTAGCTCCACCTGCCTTGCAGGAATAGAGAAGTAATGAACAAAAGGGTGCCATGCGCCTGGCACTGCAGAGGCTCTCAGTAACTATTAGCACTGAGACACTCTAATAATATAATTCAGGATCCAGAATTTTAGGCCAGGGACATATTTTCATTTATCTGTCCTAAAATTCGGCAGATGAAAAGACAATGGATGCACTCATCAAGAATCTATATCTGCTCCTGTGAATCATATATCAAAGACTTAATTGGGTCCAAAGACAGAATCTGTTTAATCCTTACAATAGCCTTTCTTGAGTATCCAGGAGTATAAATGAAATTAACTAAAACTTCAGAAATATGTATGTTACCTACTGAAATATGAAAGAAAAAGTTAACTCTGGCGACCACCAATCACTGTAATGAAGAGAAACTGATACTTACACTCCTGACTTCACAGTGAAGGACACAGATTTGGGGATATTCAGCTCTTCCAAACTGGGGATTGCTCGCTGTATGTAGATAGGACAACATGTTGGATCAGACTGTGGGCAAAGTTCTATCTCTGGAATACTGCAATCCTGAAAAAAAAAATGGCTTTGAAATCATCTAGAGACACATGCAGTCCAGTATTCTCAACACCCTGGAAAAACAGTTTCAATTACTCTCATTGTTCAGTTTAATTTCTTCACAAGAACAACATAAAGGAAATATTGTTCTCCATACCAGTTTTTAAAAACAAATTTTTCTAAGGAGTTACATTGGTAACATGAAAAGTACAAATATTATTGATTGAAAAAGTATTATACCATTTTTTTTCCTGCTTTGTTTTTAAAAGTCTCATTCCATTAAGCAATGTTCAGAGTTACCAAACAATCTGAATGCCAAAAGTCTGCAATCCTTCCTTCTTAGAAGCACAACAAAGCCATAGGGAGGAAAGGAGTTACATAAGAGCTGATCTCATGGGGGACATAAAAAATAAATAACAGAGAGGCACTACACCCTCAGTGTGTAATCTAATTTACATTGACAAAAGAAGTAGGAATTAAAGGTGAGGGAAAAGGAAATCTGTTTTCCTACTTGTGGTATTCTATTTATTTTCTTTAGTACGAGTTGGTTTGAAGAAAAAAGGCATTATGAAATTTGACCCTACACTCTGTTACACATCAGCAGTCACCATGTCCTTTAAAATTTTACCTGTGTACATCTCTTATGTATTCCCATTATCAAGGCCAAGACTTTGATTATGGGACTAGACCACCAGTCAAGTACTAGCTACACTCTATACAGCTGGGCTTGTTAGGACACCACTTTCTTCATGACACTCCTTAGCTCAAGATCCAAGTATATCAAATTTATATTTGTTTCCCTTCCTACAAAATGGCACCAACCTAAGTGATCTACACGAACTCTCCACAACACTTCAGTCATACTGGTCTCCATGCTATCTCCACTCTTGCTCTGGCCTCTGTAAGCCTGGTAAATGTTTTCCCCTATTCCAATTAAAGAGATAATTTTCTGTGTTCTTATTATGAAAATCTTAGTAGTCAAGTTCTAACTCAATAATGACATAATCTTTTCTTAGAGAATCAAAACCACAATTATTTTTCCCTTCTCTGAAATTACAGGTGGGCTTCTTGTCTGAACACATAATCTATCTCAGCAGTCATGCATGTTAATAATACAACGTAAGTTTTAGTAGCATAATTCCTATCTGGGACGTTGCGAAATTCAAATAATTACGCTTTAATGAAACAGGTAAATGCAATAACAATTAGAGGTGACACTTACTGGACTAAACAACTGTATTTTTTTTATAATTAGTTTTGCGATTTTAAAACTGAAATTTTCTGATTTTTTAAACCTTTCTCCAAACTGAGTTCTTACTACTCATCAATAATCATTCTTATTAATATGTAAAATCAAGCAAATTGATGCATCTTATTTTCAGAAAGTTAGGTCTAAAATGCAGTAAGAGGCATAACCTAAAATACTCTTTCAAGTATGAAAATGTATTTCAAGTTTCATTTCAAAAATAACCAGAAATGTCCATTACAGTCACCTGTCAATCTTCAAGGCTCTTTTGTTTGTTATTAATAACAAAGTTCTAGTAACACTATTTAAAATGCTGCCATATTCATGTCCCCCCAGGGATCTGAGGTACTGTAACAGAATACATAACTAAGTGTCTCACACAAAGAAGTTTCCTCTGCATTGTGTTATACAAACAATGTTTGGGTGGTGTACTTTAAAAGGGAAAAAGCTAAGAGGCATTAGAGTCTACTACAACACGGAAGAAAATAGCGTAATGGAAAAAGCATAACAATGTCTAAAAAATGGAAAATAAACAAAAATAAGAATGCTTATGTTCTCAAATACCTTTCTTAGAGGACCATTTTTCTTCCTCTAGTTGACTGAAAAGGATTTCACTGATAAGTTCTAGCTTTTTCATGGTGGCTACTCACAGAAATAATGTGTTTCACAATACTTGTATGTCCAAGGCAGTAAACACTAGCAACTGAAAGGAGCTCTATAGTAGCCTAGCAACAATCAATAGTTTACTCTTAGTAGAGAAAAGTTTATATGGCTTCCTCCAAGACTTTTCTAGCCATGATATATTTTACAAACATATCATGGCAAAATTTGCAAGCTTAGACTATTAAAGCAATTAGCAGAAAGAGAGGCAAAGATACAGGAGACAAACAGGGTAGGAATGAATTATAGTTAACAAAAACAATAAGAAAATCTATTTGTCTCCACCTTACATAAAATAACTTCAGTTACTGATCTAACAATGGATCTCTCTCTTTTCAGCTCATTAATGAGGTCACAAACCTAAGTAAACTCTGACCATAAGAAAAATGTCATTCTTTTAAAAAAATATTAAATGCACAGTAAACACAGTAATTTGCAATATTTGTTTGTTTTATCTGAGAAAAGAAGGCATCCCCCAATTATTTCCACGGAGGCAAAGATGTCCCTAGAGCACAATCCACAATTGCTGATAACTGATGGTATCTTCTGTATCTAGTCACAGCAAAATGAAGACATAATACAAGTATTATCTTGAAAAGAACATTTTGACCAGAGCAACTAAAAGATGATGAAACAAGATAAATTGTAGGCTTAGGTGAATTTGGAATGGCCACCATGAAAGTGAAGCTATCAACAGCCAGATTTTGACAAGGTTGCAAAAAGGAAGTAGTGTGATATTTGATTCTTACTTTGTAAAATATCAGAACAATGCTAATGCCTTTTCCATTCAATGCTCAATAGTTTTATTTTCCTTCCTCACTAAAAGTTGCTCGCTGTTTAAGATATGTGAGTACTAACACTGCAATTTAAAAAACAACTCCAAAACAAACAATGAAAGAGGAAAAAATGCAAACATGGTTTATTATTTCTTGTAATATATTCTAAGCAAATGGCGGATGTGCAAACATCCATTTATATACCCATGCTTGACAGAATGAGTTTTTTTGCCTGATTTTATTGTGTTTTGATCTCAAGGGTGGGCGGTGAGGTGGCTGCTCTTTACAGTATCTTATTCATTGTACTTCCTCCCTAGGCCTGGCGTGGTGCCGGACATTCACAAGGAAGGCGCAAAACCACAAGTTATTTAAATCTTAGATGATTCCACTTACAAACTAATTATTCATTTCAAGGAATTTCTAGTGTTAGCTAATTAAGGGAGTACTGTAAAGGAACATGGCCTTCTACAATGTGGCCAGCAATCTCCTTGCAGTGCCACCAATATTCACCTCCTGTTTCCTCTTTCAAGATTCCAATCAGGTGCCACCTCCTCCAGGTGAGGCACCTCTTTTCTGCGCACCCTTAGGGCCATGCAGAGCACTTCTCACATCATGTGGTCATGTGACACAGCTGTCTGTCTCCTAGACTTTAAGCGATCTGAAGAAAGAAGCCCACTCCAGCTGGTATTTCTATTCCCAGTGCCTATCACAGAATTGGGTCCAAAGTAGACACAAATATGTATTAGATAGATTTGTTACAGTTTTGCAGTAAGTATTAATTCACATAAAATACATGTAGACATCCCTTTATGAGTTTTTCTGTATGCTATCTTTAATTTTTCTATATGCTATCGACAACTATCAAAGTTTAAAAATATCAATCCAACTCATAAGATCCACCCCAATTTTTATGTTTTAAGCAAATAAATGAAACCTCATAATTGAAAAAAATATATCCATGACTGTCAAAGTAATTGCAAAACTGATGTGCTATGTTACTGCTGAAGGAACTCTTTTAATACATGAGAGAATTCTCTCCTTATCTGACATCTGTCCTTATCACTAATTTACCCCTCTAAACCATCACAGTATTTCCCACAAAATATTTTTTAAGACTGAAAGACTATCCTCATTTGTTATTAAATATTTTCTAAACAGAAAATTAAGAAAAGCAACACACCTTCCATTCCTCTTCCCATTTTTCCTTCTCTAATTTCTCCTAACACTTATACCTATCTCTCCATCCCTCCCTTTCTCTCTCTCTCTTTTTCACACACAGCCTTCACTAAGGAGTACAAATCTACACTAGAAAAATATATATTTGGAAATATTTACTATTTTCCTAAAGATGCCTGGATGGCATACTCCTATTTAAAAAAAAACTACACACACACACACACCACACACATACATATATGCATATATATGTAACAATTTATGGGCCAGATTATTACAGGTAATATTTTAAATTAACATTCATTTAATGCTTTATATGTATAAAGTGAGTTTATCATTAACGTGAAATGAAGATTAATAAAATTAGCACGAATATTAACAACCATTTATAAACATTGCTAGACCAAAGTATAGCTTTACAACATGACAAAACAAAACAAAAAATAGAAGAAAAGCAACAGTTCTGTTACCTTTAAGACTCGTCTGATAGAACCCAATACAAAGTTTCTTTGTGGATGCTTTCTGTTCTGAAGGACCCAGTCACGACTTAACACTTTTTCCCCTTCTTCCAACACACATTTCTGACCTTGGAAATGTGGTTTCTCATATAAAATCCAGCTGAACAAATATAAAAGCATGACCAGTTGTAATTAATTTTCTAAGAAATGAGGCATAAAACAAATGATAGTAAGTCACAGTCATCTTATCTATTTACATTTTAAAATCTGGGCTATTTTCCACTATTAGCATATAATCCTATTTTTGAAATGATGATGTATCCTAATTTCAGTATAGAGAAATAGTATAAGAGAGAATAAAAGTGCACACAACTTTCCATCTATGGCTATGCCTATATTTATGTATAGATGCACTTTACAGATATTGTATACACAAAGCTATACATTTATATTAAAAACAATAGCTTAACAATTACAAATTCAACTTCTACCCTAATTTTCCTGTCACTGGATAATAGAGCACGTGTGTCTCATTTTATTACATGAAGACAGCACTACACCATACTGGTTACGATATAAATACTGACCAGTGTGTAACCAAAATATTAGGCAAAGAAATTCTGCGTCCAGCATGTCCATGGACACGGTCCATAAGAACAAATGAGGTTTTCACTCATTTTTGCATCATACAAAGAATCCTTCACTTCTTGAGCATATTAGCTACACGAATAACTTTAAGTATGTGGCCATCACATTCCTTGGCATCTCACAAATTTTGAACTTATTTCCAAAGCTATGCTTCATTCAACTGAAGCCTTCAGCTCAACTTGCCAAATTTGTCCTGCTAATAATGCAATTACACAATGGTATTGGTTGTATATATTAGGTCTTGCTACTTACTGCTGTCTTTAAGCACTAAAAAAAAAGCCTATATTTTCTGCCACAGTAAATAAAAGGGACAAGTCATAAAGCACTAATAATGTTGCAAGATATTCTGTCAAAAACTAGAGGAAAGGGAATGTGACTTTAATAAAAAATAGAAAAGCATAAACGGCAAGAAAACATATTTAATTTGGGAGAAAAAGTGCTATAAAATTTTAAGAGCTCTCTTACCAGCCTCTCACAACTTTCGCCAGGATCCCATTCGGAAAGGACCATGATGTAGCATCACGAACATTACAATAGACTTCTTGCTTATATTTACTTCTATGGAGATCATAGATAACCATCTGCAACATACAGAAAGTAGGCACAATAACTAATTTTAAGAATGCATTTAAAAGTCTAGAAAGTCCTAGAATATAGAAAATAAAATCTCCTATATATTTAAAAGTAAACATTACTTTAGATGTTATATCTTTGAGTAAAATTATCCTTTGCTAAGTCAGTTAAAAGTATTTACACTCCCTAAACGTAAAAGTAACCATACTTTTCGTACTGTAGCTTAGTCTACGTAAGAAATTTATGCTTACCTTCCCAGGTCTTGGGTTATGCTTCAGAGTTTGTCTATCGATATTCTGAAATAATAGAAGAAGCACCAAGCTGTAAGAAACATCAACTGAAAGACGTACAGTTCACTTCTTTTGCAGACACAGAGCCAATATATCACATACGTGCAAGATGTACCTCCAAGTACCACAATGAATACAAAGCTCAATATAAAGTGAAATAATGTTTGTCTCTGCTCTCAAGAATGTTACAGCTTGGAAGGCAGAAATGGATGATCACATACCCATGACTCTTCTAAGTGGGAGATAACAAGTTAAACCCACAGGAAAAATACAAACAAAATGCCAGGTTATGGAAATTAAGGGAAATGGCACCGGCACAGAGGTGAGGTAATGGTAGAGAGAGATTCATAAGAGGCTTGTCTGAAGAAGTGATATGGAGAAGACCTCGAAAACCAGGATTTCAATAAGTGAAAACTGTGGCAGGTTGGGGTGGCGGTAATAAGGAAAGAAATTCCCAGAAGGGAACCATCTCGAGAAAAAGTATGGTGGTAGGAAACACAGGATGTGTAATCAGAGCATGAGGCGGCAAGGTTGGACAAACAGCATTTGAGGGCCATGTGATACAGGGTGAAGAGGTTCCACTCGATTTGGTAGGCAATGAGGAACCGTTAGAAATACATTTCTTCAAATCTCATCATTTCTTTTAAATGACTTAGCCTTACAAGCTATTGGTTGGTATTCAAGTATCACTTTTTGCTCCTCAGGCTTTTCCAGGCAAAGATGCAGGCCTTGGGAATCTTAAAGTTCCATAATCTTGAGAATGCCAGAAAGGAAAAGGCCCACATTCAGTGGATATTATACATTAGACAGTTATACATTTCAAAGTCAAAGAAAAATGTAACTGAATTTCAGAACATTTTCCGACTATAATGTTTTCAGCTCTTTCTCTTTGAATTAGGCTGTTTATTGTCCTGCTCTGCATGAATAACATGAGCAACTACAGTAAGGTTGTTGTCAAGCAAACACTTAAAATATTTTTAAATATTTAAATTATTTTCATGAGACACATCAGCTCAACGGAAAGTATCGATTTTCTCACATACAGTACCCTGAGAGATTCAGAATGTTGTCACTTTAGTTTAAAAACTAAATAAAGCAAAGAACTGGAACATAATTTCCTTTCTGCCTTTAAATTTTTACTTAATTTTTTCTCAATGTAACAGTTCAGCCAAAATACACGAATTATAATACACTTCAAAGAATAAAGTAACCTCTGATACTTTTTAAGTCTTTACACGACCTCGAAATATTTTCTTAATAAGCTTTTAGATCATTTTATGATCCAAAGCACTACTTCACTAGTTAATAATCAAAATATCTTACCTCTGTGAAGGAGCTTAATCTGCCTGAGTGGTCTTGAGCACGGAAATATTTTGACACTGGTTCCTGCAAAGTGCCACCAAATCTGGCTCCTTTTTCTGAGGAATGGGTTTTGGAAGTCTGCAAATATTGATGATAAGCACTCTTTAAAGAAGAATGTAGTTTAGAAGTAAGGTCGGATTTTTGTAGAAATGAGGTCTTTTCTGTCCACAGACCAATTTGCAGATTGGAGGTAGTAGGTTCATTTGACTTTACATATACATTCTTGGAAATTCCAGTCCTTTCCTGCTCATCATCAGGGTAAAATGTGATGGATGGATCTGGCAGCTTGAAAGTAACAGTTTCTCTCCTCCTAGCTCTCAGACTTCCTTTATGCAAAGATCCATCTTCTTCCTCCTCCTCCTCCTCTTCCCCTAACTCCTTCCTGTCGTCTTCACCAAAATTCATCTTTAGACGCTCTGATACGGACTGGAGAAGTGATAAAACAGAAGAGGGCTGGTGTATACTCTCTCTAGATTTTGTGGAGCCATGATGACCAGGTGAGACTTCGCCGGACAGAACATCTTCCTGAGAGCTGTCATCCTCATAGATGGGAGACAAAGCTAAAGGATAAATTTTGTACCTTTTGGCCTCCACCGATAAGAACATTTCTGGACTATCACTATCAACCGTCTCACCTAATTTGGTTTCCTTTTCAAAATGATGGACCAGGTCAGTTCTACTCTCGGATCTTTCACAGGCGACAACAGGCATGCTGTTGGTGGACGTATCAGTAAACAAGAGAGAGTGTGTTCTTCTTACTTCTGCAGTAGCATACCTGTCCTCATCTTGAAGGGGTTCTTCATATAATATAGTAAAAGAAGAATTTTCTTGTTCATCCTGAGAAAGGAAGGCCAATTTAGATTCTTTTTCATTGCTATAATCGCCTAGAACTCTTGTTTTGTTACCTACTGCAGTAACAGATGGTCTTTTGTCCAGCTTTCCTATGGTATCTGCAGGTTGAAAATCTAGCATTGCTAAGGCTGGGTAGCCTTCATAATCCTTACTTAATGTAGGTGATTCATATCCCCTGAAATATGAAGCTAGTCTATTGTCATGTGCTATCAAACCTTCTTGTATTTCAGTGGGTTCTTCCTCCATTTCTCCAATACTCCCTTCAGCGGCATATCCTTGGGGTGCTTTTTCAGTTTCAAATATGGGAGGCATGGCCTCTGCCTGTGTTATGGGCAATTCCAGTCCTGTTCCATATGTTTTCCCCACATTTACCACCACAGGTGACACTTGGTGTTTCCTGACAGTTCCATCAGAATCTTCTGGGAATGTTCTTTCCATTTCTATCATAGAGGGCATGGACACAATCGTTCCAATCGTCTCTTTCGTGTCCCTCCTGCATGCCTTTTCCGTTTCTGAGGAGGCAGGGGCTGCCTTCTTGTGTGTTTCTTTCACTTCTAATGCAAAAGGTATCATTTCAGTTTTCCTAATAACCCCCTCATCATCTGTTTGGTAAGTGTTTTCCATTTCCAACATAGGTCTCTCAGTCTTTTCAGTAATCCCCTCAGCATCTTTATGGTAGGTATTTACCACTTCTAAAATAATGGGCATCACCTCAGTTTTGTCCATATCTCCTTCAGCATCCTTTTGGGAAACTCCTTCTATTTCTACCACACCAGGTAGCACTTCAGCCTTTTCAGTAATCCCTTCAACATCTTTTTGGTAGATATTTTCCATTTCTGACACAATTGATGTCATTCCAGCCTTGCCAACATCACCTTCAGCATGCTTTTGGTAAATATTTTCCATTTCTAATGTAGTGGGTATCATTTCAGTCTTTCCAGTAACTCCCTCAGCATCTTTTCGGTAGATATTTTTCACTTCTGACATAACAGGTATCGTGTCGGTTTTGCCAAAATCCCTTTCGGTATCCCCCATCTTATAAGCCTTTTCCATTCCTAAAATGGCAGGCAATCCCTCAGTTTTTTCCATATATCTCTCAGCATCCATTTGGTATACTTCTCGCATTTTAAAATTGTCAGCTGTTAGCTCAGTTTTTGTGATAGTCGATTTATCATCCTTTTTATGTATTCCTCCCATTTCTGACACAGGAAGGACTGCCTCATTTTTCATAATATTCAACTGAGCATGCTTTTTGTTTGTTTTTCCCATTTTTAACATGGAAGGTATAAGTTCAATTTTTCCAATATTTACTTCAGTATCCTTTTTGTGTATTTTCCCTACTTCTGACATTGCCAGGGGTGTGCTTCTATTACTGTGTCCTGGCAAGCTTTTTTCAGATACACACACAAGACTATCGGACAAACTGCTTTTGGATGTCCCAGGTACATGGATGTCATCGTTTGTAGATGGAGGCCAACTGAAATTTAATACAAGAGTTCTGGTATCCTCTGTCCCAGTTTTGTGATTATCCATGCATTCTATTTCCACTTTCTGTTTAGAGTCCTCTTTGAGAAATAAATATGTTTTTACCCTATCATCTAACCCTTTATGGGACGTGTCTTCAGCTAATAAAATAGTATCTGATTCTTGCAAGTTTATATCATCAGACTGTCCAGCTGTATTTCCAGCAAATGGGGGGGTTTGGTAGGGAACAATTTCTCTTCCTTTAATTGACTCTGTGTCACTAATTAAGTTACTTACAGAGAAGAATCCACTTAATTCTTTATTTTCACTATTTTCACATGTGCTTTGATTTACTGCCTGTTCTGACTCCAAGAACTCCCTTCCTATGTCACGAGGCTTAACAGTATCACTGTTCAGAATTTTTGAAGTATTAGCCTGAAGGTCAGAATCCCAGGTACCCTCAGTATCTTCAAAAGCGTCATTTGTTACACTTTCTCGGGCTGAATTAATAGTCTCATTGACTAATTCCCTAGCTTGATCTTCTAACAAACAAGATATATCCATTCTATCAGAATCAAAAAGGACAACTCTCTCACCAGCTGTAGGTGAAGCACAGGCCTCGTCCTCCCCTTGGGCTCCGAACATACTTTCCATGACCTGCTCTTCCAAATGCTCTGTCAGTTGGATCCCTGTCAGTGTCACTTCTGATGGTTTTTTTTCAGGGATGTCTTCTTTCAGGGTACCAGGATTCATTATGCCATCTACGGCTATACGCTCTTGGCAGGTATCAACTATGTGTCTGGATTTTAGTTCTTCTCTGACAGAATTAAAAATCTCACCAATCAATGCATCAGCTTTTTTAAGTAAACCACTTTTGAGGTCCAAAAGTTGGTCATGTGCTCTCTTCCTTGCTTCTATATGCTCAGTAGATGCTTCAGAACACTGCTGGCTTGAGCTGTTAACTGACGCTGGAGCCCCAGCAACTGCTCCAGTCTCTGCTTCCATGGGATTGTCAAACTGGGCAGCAGTTGGGAAGTCAAGAGATGCCTTCCCAGTAGAAATCTCAAAATGTTCCTGAAATGGGGTCACTTCCTCTCCTGTTGGGACAGATATTTCAAATTCCAAATAAGAGCTATTAGGGTTAGTTAAGGAGGCCCCTTCATGTGTGACATCTCTGGTAATTTTTACAGAACTAAAATTATTTGGGGGATTATGTGAACTTGTAACCATGCTGACTTCTTCAACGCTAATAGAGGAAGACACGCTATCAACACCATCACTTAGGAAAGGACTGTGCTCTTTTTTTCTGTGAGATGAGGCTTTCTTTTCTGATCTCAGCACAGAAGGAACATTAAGAAAGCTTGAATTCTCAGATGCAAAAGCATTTTTTTCCAAATTGTTATCAAAATCTGAAAAAGGCAAATTTACTTTTGTGCTATCAGTTTCTTGTAATTTGGGGCAAGCAATAATTAAGCTGAATTCTGTCATTTCTGAGAAATCAGAAATCTTTTTAGTCCCACAAATATCTGAAGGTTGATAAATCACACAACTGTTTTCTTCACAATTCTGTGCCATTTGCCTGGTAACCTTTTCATCATTAATAGGAGAGAAAATCCCAGATGTATTACTTTTGGGAAAAGCAGAAGGACAATCTAAGGCTTCCACTTCTGTTTCCTGTATACCTTGATATTTGGAGACAGAAGGAGAAACCTCAGCTTGGTAATCCTCTTGAAGTACAGCATCTAAATATTTCTCTTTACTCTCATCATGATCCATCAATTTAAAACTGCTGTCTTGTTCAACCTCTACAGAAGTTAATTCTGATAAAATAGGCTTTGCTGGCACATCTGTAATTTTGAATGGAGAAGAAATTTTATCCTGAGAAATCTCTCTAGGCTCTGTTTGGGAAACAGACAACTTGCAGAGGGCTACAGTTTTTCCTCTTCCAGAATTTGACTCAACAGGAACAGTGTTCTGATCACCAACTTCAGCTTTTGATAAAACTTCAGCAACATTATCAATTTTGGTTTCCAAGGAAAGAGACTCAGATTTCTCTATAGCGTTCTTCCTTGCTTTAGCATTTGAAAGCATTAACTCTGCTTTATTAGGGTTTTGAGATGATACGGAACTGTGGTCCTCAGAAAGGCTTTCAGACTCAAATTTTGAGTCTGCTCCAGTTAAGTGAGTATCACTGGCTTCAAGATCTAGTGGAATCTGGCATTTTTCACTATGAAGAAGAACTTCCTCAGATTCAAGAGTTGCAGATGCATGATCAAGGTGAAGGCAAGCTGGAAGACTCTTCCTGTCTACAGCCTCAACATGATTCACCACATTTTCTTCTTGACACTTAATGGGCCGACTAGAAATTCCAACGATGTTGACATCCCCAGTTTCAATGAGCATGGAAGAACCCTCATTCTTTAAAACAGGAATATCCAACCTGCTCAGCATGCCAACTCCAGAAACAAAGGTAGGAGATGAAGCATTGAAATTTGATTTTGTGTAGTCAACATTAAGAGATGTTCTGGCATCAGGTGGTACTTCAGCTTGGTGCAGACTCTCCGAGTCAAGAAGAGATTCTGAAATGTGACTTCTATGAAGTTCAAAAGTCAGTTCAGGGGTTATTTTGTTTTCTAAGCATGCTACAACTGTTGAATCACTGATACATTTTACAGCGGCAGAGCCCTTTTGATTAATTCTGAGAATGTGAGGCATTTTGCCATGTGAACCAAAATCAAGCTTTTTGGCTTCTGTTATAAACAACTGGTCAGTATCTTTGGGTAATGAATCACTTCTATCTTCTGAAGCTTTTACATGACCTGAAATTGTGGGTTCACCAACTGAGGCACTTTCTGTTTCTTGTCTGATTTCCATAACAGCCAATTTTTTCTGTAAATCTTGGGCAGACAACCTATTTCCTTCATTTACAAGTTCTGTGTCTGTCACAGCATGTTTCTGTAGAGCAATGGTGCTGGTGTGATTGGCAGCCTGCTTTGATGAGTTATCTACGATATGCTTGTCAGAACACTTACTCTTTGGCAACTGCAGATCTTCATGCCTAACTGATTTATTTGGACTTGACAAATCTGTACTTTCCTGTTTGGTAGTGTCACTGCCATGAGAGTTACTATAAGAAAAGTCAGAAATAGCAGGGCTCTCAGGCTCAACCTGCTCTTCTGTTTGCACTAGTGTCCCATCTCTCACCGCAGAGCTGTTTTCTTTTACTGTAGTTTCTGTTGTAGTTATCCTCTGAAAGTCTGGCCTACAAGGAACAATGCTACAGTTACTTCCTGTAAACAATGTGAGGCATTCCAAATTTTGGTCAGTCTGAGGAACTGGTACACGACTTAAATGGTGCTGCGAGTCACATTCTCCAACAGTGGAGTTGGGGTTAGTCACAGAAGACGGAGATGACCTACTTCTCCCAGGTCCCCCAGGAACATTTTTATTTAAAACATCCTTAGAATAAGCAATATTCGGCACTTTGGGGTCATTTGTCAGATGGCTTTCTGTGTTGAGATTTATTTTGCTACTATCATAGTCTTCTAATGGGCCTCCAAGCATATGTCCTTTCAGAGACACATCTGTGCTAGATGATGATGAAGATGGCAGAATCCCAGCCTCACTCTCACTCCCAGGGCCAATATGTGTGCTTGTACTAGAGTCAGAACTTTCATTTTCTCTGTCCAAGGGAGTCGCAGTTTCTAACATGGTCTGTTGCTTCAAATATTTCCTAATTTGTCTGGGGCCTCGATACCTTGCATATGTTACTGAAGGCCTCTCTGGTTTGTCATCCGTTTGTCTGTAAAAATAAACAGCATGAGAATATCAGGAAATATAATTAGTTACACTTAACAGTAATCTCAAACTGTGGTGGAGTATATCTCATAATAGGGGAGGCTTTTATCTTTTCTATGTAAAGAAAAGCTACAAAATCAGCATGTTCTTTTTTTTTTTCAAATCACAATAAAGCTCTGACAGTAGAGATTCTCATGATGGATAAAATCTGTTGAAAATATAAGGATTATAAAACTTCAAAGGATTTATAAATTACAAAGAAGCATGCATTAACGTATGGAAAAACCTAAAAAACATTACACAACTGGTGTACTCAAAGGCTTTATAGATATTAAAAAGGAAATTTGCATTTTCAACTATAAAAACAATTATAAAGCTGTTTATTATTTTTAATTAAGTGAAGATGAAATCATTGACAATGCCTTTTAAATATACTTCAAAATATAGCTAATAACGTCTTAATTTTGAAAACTCTGTTAATCGTGATCAGTAGTGATCAAAATGTTTGTTACTATAGCAATAGACAGCATTATATAGCACATGGTTATTTTATTAACTTGTCTAAATTAAACTATTAACTCTTGTTAACACACCCTGATTATAAAAAAATATTTATCAAGAAAAAAAGGGCATTTTTATGTGAGAAAGATAACACAAAACCTTCAGTTAATTCACTTTCTTGAAATAATTGAAATTTTTATGTGAAACTGAAATCTAGTAATTTCAAAACTATAGGCTCTTAATTTTAAATAACGTTTTATATTTGAAATACTGCCATGATCTCAATGTTAAATATATCCTTGCTTGCAATAAATTCAAATCACAAAATGAAAGGAACACCTTTAATACTAAAAATTCAAATTCTCAAAATTATTTTCTCCAGATATATTATTTAAATATCTAAAGTCAATTATAAGCAGCCTTTAATCATATCAAAATAAACAATTAACCAAATGGTATTCAACTTTTTTATGACAATTCCTAAATAAATTGACAATCTTCAACAGGAAATTACTAAAACTGTAATTTAAAACTTGATAATCTGTAGATTTCTAGAGCTGAGCTGGAGGAAACCTGTTATCTCAGTCAAAGTGGGAGTCCCCGTGATCTTTTCCTTTCTTCGTAAGAATCACCTTTCTTGGAGCTAAAAAATAACAGATCCAAAGATTGCAGTAGCTGTGGTGGATGGATTTCTTCCTGTGGAATTTCCCAGTATAACAAAGTGATCTTGGGTCCCACAGGGAATATAGTCAACAATGTTGTAATAACTATGAATGGTGCCAGGTGGGTACTAGACCTATCGGGGGATCACTTTGTAAGTAATAGAAATGTCTAACCACTATGCTGTACATCTGAAACTAATATTGTATGTCAACAGTAATTGAAAAGGGGTGGGGGGGAAGAAAATATTTCCTCTAGTTCATTTGAGTAAAAGAAAAACAAGTTAGTGCCTGTTGGTTAGTCAAACAAAGAAAAAAGGAGTGGTGAAATGCTCCTTAAATTTGTGAAAGATTTCAGTTTCTTACAGCCTATAGAAAAGGTCCAAAAGGCTAGTTTTATAAATAGAGTCAATTTAATTTCTTTTCTTAACCTCTATAATTATATTCCGCAAAGAAAAGATATTGATAGAAAATGAATACAAATCTTAGGACTTTTGTTCCCAGAATGAAGACACTGAACACATTGCCTTTCCTAATACAGGAAAAAAAGATTCAGACAATAGAAAATACACCCATTCAGGGAAGTCTTAAATTAGAAATAAATCTCGTACTATGACAGAGTTAGTGCCTAAAAGGTATTAGTATCACCCCCTAAAGAGGCTCAAAAAGGCCCTAGATTACACAGAATCATAATTTTTTTACCTAGTAGCAAGTACGTTACAGAATACTTTTTCCAGTCCCTTAAAATTAATAAGAGTAGAACTAAGGATCAAAAGCTAGGTCCAAAATTTCTGGCTCAAGTAAATTTTAAACTTACTTTATCAAATCACTGGTTTCCTGTTCACTGTCTTGTGTTGTATCCAAAGAAAAGGCATCTGAGGATTCAGCCGAGTTAGACTCTTGTTCTTCTGCTGGAAATGTCTGGGGTCCCAGGGGGCCACTGAAAATCTCCCCCTCCTTTTTGATGTTTTCCTCATGATGGTCACTGGGATTTCGTAACTCTTTCTCAGTTTTGTCATGGTCATCTTTTAAAGAAGATTGCTTGGCTTCACCAAGAGATGATTTTCCTGAGATATTAAATAAGTTACCAAGAAAATGAAAAAAGCTTTCTTTTGGCTGTCGATCGCTTTCTCCTATTTTGCTATCTGAAGTGGAACTGGAAAGGTCATTTGTCTTTTTGGAATCTTCCTGCAATGGAAGGGTGATTAGCTTCTCAGCATGGTTCCTTTTGTCCTCACTTTGGGGAATCTTTGAAAACAAAATGGAGAATAACAAGCATCATCATTTAAAAAATAACACAGATTAATAACCTATTTATTACATGACACACTCTAAGCTAGACGCCAGGGATACATTTATGAATAAGACTGATGGCTTCTATTCCCTTGGGCAGTTTACAATCTACTGAAGGGCACAGTCAGCACAACTTTAACAAAGATATGTATTAAATGTCACCAACGGAGAAGTACAGCACATATGGGAATTCAGACCAGGAGTAACTAGTCTAAATCTGGTGGCAGAGAAAGCAGAGGAAGTACCCTCTGAAGGAGACCTAAAAAGTGACTACGAGGATACTTGTGCATTTTCCTCCCTCCCCTCTCTCCCTCCCTGCTCCACCTTTTCCGTACTCCCCTTCTGTGTTTAATGAGGTATTCGCTTCTAAGGAGTTTAATATGACTAGAGGTTAGGTTACAAAATGAGAAGAGTGAGAGTAAATATGGAGAGATAAGGAACAGATCTTGGCAAACCTCATCTGTATTTAAATTTAGACTTATTATTACAGAGCTAATGAACAGTATTTTCAAACATTCAGTACATTAGACAAATAACACCTAAAAAGACCATCATTTCAGCACTGTGTTAACCCATGAAGCTGCCACATTATGCAAAATTGTTCCTCAGGAAGATGAAAGACAGCAATGTGGTACATCAATTCAGAAGGAAAGCCCACCATGACCTCCTCATAGTAAACAAAAAGTTCTGATATGTGCATTAATACAAACTGTGGACACTGCTGGGAATTCTTGCAGATGTTAAACACTCCCAGAGGTGCATTTTATTGGCTCGTAAGTAAGTACTTAAAAAGCAAACTCATTCATGTATATACTCTGTGTGAGGAAAGACTGAGCTGCTATATCAAAGAGCATGCTGGCATTCCACCTCACACTCCTCCCTAAGGCTTCATTAGCTTTAGGCTGGTGTGCCAACTCGCCCTGCCCTTCCAAACATGCTCACTCACCTACTTGTAAAAGGAATGTGTGCCTGACAATATGTCAGATGTTATGCTCACCAGTGCTTATGAAAGGAAAGCTCAAAGATGAGCCAGAAAAAGCAGGACACTAAGGTAAAAGCACCTTAGGGCACTGTAGGTTCACAGGACAAAGTTCTGTAAGAAGCTGACCTTGGAAAAGGCAGGAGCACTCTAATTATGTTGTCATTTGTTCACCTTGCTCAGTGTTTTAATCCAAATTCGAAATGGTTTAAAGGAGTGTTCCAGTAACCACTAAAAAAATTAGCATATAAAAGGCTGAGAAAATGTTTAGACTCCATTATCCCAGAAATCTTATTTCAAGCCAATGATATTTTAAGTTTGTTCCTACCTTAGGTATCAGAAGGTATTTCTGAGTAAACACATAGCATTTTTCTATATGTTAAGACCTTAATATAACTTGCGAGTCTTATAAAATTAGGGCAATGGATTATAAAAGGGAAAATTAAGAGAACAAGGAAATTAAGATAACGTTTTTCAACTATCGATAAAATCTCAAGGCAAATAATTTCTGTCGAATTAAATATTTATTTTACTACCTCAATTGTTTTTACTTGACAGTTCCCTTTAAAGTATAACAGACTGGTTTCTGAACAAGATACATTTTGCTAAACTAATGAAAGCCTTCACATTTAACCTTTTTAGAGTTATATATATAATTTTTTTAAAAATCACTGGTTTCTCCTCCCCTTCAATTTACAGCTTCTTTGCTTTTCCAGAATTCCTGTATCTTCAGCTTACCAAAGAGTTTTTTCAGTTTCCTAAAATGTCTTAGTTGCTTACTTTTTCCCTAATAATCTGAGAAATTTTTATCAGTAATTAAAATATCCTCAACCAGAAAAAGGTATCTAAATTTAGAAACAAAAACTAGTAGAAAAGAACACTGATATTCAAAGTAAACACAATAAATTATGTATTTACATAATTAAAACTTTTAAGTTTCCTCTAAAACAGCTGCTCTTTGCCCTCAGCTTAAACGACAATAAAGTTCAGCCTGCCACAAACCACGGCCAATGTCGCTTGCCAACCAGGCTATCTGCCACTGTTCCAACAAGCAAGTAGAATGAAAGTACTCATGATTCAAGCAAATGCTGGCAGAATATTGATTCCAGTTGTTCTCAAAGATGTTGATATTCTGCAAATCAAATATAAAGGCTACTGATATATATAAAGGAGACATACACATCTTAGGAATTTAATTTTTTTCCTTCATATTCAATATGTTATTATGTAGTACCCTTATGTTCAAATTCATCCATCCATCTGTTCTCCTTGCTCTGTGACCAAAACAGGGAAATACAGAAAAACATTAGCTATACTAATAAGAAAGCTGTGATTTCAAGGAGTTCACTGTCCAGTAAGATACTCAACATTATACCATTGTGTGGGGCTTACAGGAGGTATGTGCACAATGGAGGACACAGGTAACCTGACTTGGGATGGGGAGAATCTACCACAGAAAGGAGGTTAACAACTGAGCTTGTTCCCGAGGGGTGAGAATAGCGTTCTAGACAAATAATAGCATGTACAAAGACACAACAGTGTGAAATACTGCTTATTATGGCAGAGCTATGGCTGAAGGAGACTGGGGCACAGAGGATAGAGAATGAGGCTGATAAGATGACCAATCAGTGACAAGATGACCAATCAGAAGTGGCAGGTGAGCGGTAACAAAGTCATACAAGAATAAATTTCTAAATTGGGCAACTATTTGAGTAGTTAAGCCCAAAATGGATATAGGAAATAGAAGAGGAGATGAGATTAGGGCCTTTGTGGGGATGTGGTGAGGGGGAAGGGCAACAAACTATTTAGATATCAAACATGTTAAATTTTTGGTTCCCTGGTGATGCACAACTGGTAAGAAGTCAGAAGCATAGTTTAAGAATGCAATCTGGCAATACACAGTGTGTGAGGAGGAAAAGGGGGACCAACCAAAGAGCCCTAGGGCAAAAAGATTAAAAGGCAGGCACAAAGAAGAGAAGAAATCAGAGAGACAGAGAAGGCCAAAACCAGACTAGGGCATCCCCTCTAGAATACTGGTCTCCAAAGTCAAAAGGCCAAAATAATTCCCTCCCCCCACCCCCCCCAAAAAACAAAGGGAGTAAATACCAAATGCCCTTGCAAGGCCAGGAAAAGTGAAGAAGATCCTTCTCTCTGGTCTTCTGAAATGTCAGGCACACTCTCATGGGGAGCTGAGTGTTTACTCTTCTCTCTGCTTAGAATGTTCTTCCCCTAGACAGCTATATGACTCGCTGCCCCTCACCTCCTTCAGACCTGTACTTAAAAGTCTCTTCATTGGAAGTGTGCCAGGCCACCGTATCTAAAAGAATAAACTCCACTCTGAATCCACCTAGATTCCTTCTCTGCTTTTTCTTCTTTGTACTTATCAGTATCAAATACACACACATATGCACACACGCTCAAATTATTTAATATTTGCTTCTTCTTCAAGAAAGTAAAAGCCACAAATACAAAGATTTTTGTCTGTTTTAATCATTGCAGTATCTCTAGTACCTTGAAATGTGCCTGACAATAAGAGCCAAACATGCTCAAATATTTTTTGGATTAGTGAATGAGGAGTATAGCGAAGCCCTAGGAATGCAGGAGAGATTGTCATAACAGCTGAGGAATTTGTGAATACAGCCCCCAACTCAAGCTGTTAAGCAGTGAGTTGATAGATAGGAAAAAAGCAGTGAGTAGATAGCAAGGAAACAAGAACAGTTGCAAACAGAAGGGAACATTTTTGAGAGATTTTTAAATTAGGAAAAAAACACCTAAGGCAAAAGTTTAAGGTCCGAGACAGAAGAAACTGGCTTTTTGTTTCTGTTTTGTGGATCAGCTCTACACCTGTTGGAAAGGGAATGATGGCTGCACAAGAGGGAAGAATGGCAGGTTCCAGAAAGAAAAGCAGAAGGAGATGATGAGCTAGAGAGCGGAGTAATTTCTAGTCCTTCTAACGAAGGGAAAATTAGAGCCTTGGAGAGGAGCAGGGACATTTCCTCTTCCAAGTAAGGCAGGAAGGAAGAGCCTAAAACCTAAGTGATTCCGCAAGCAGAGAGGACAATGAGCAAGGTCCAACAAGTAGCCCTGACCTTAATATAGTCAGAGCAGAGAAGACAAAGCTAAAGGAGGGATGCAGAGGTGGCACTGAGACTAGGGCTCCCTAAATAGAGCAGACTCAGAAGAGTGTTTCTGGGAAATGCAGCAATAGGCTGAAACAAAGTGTACTAAGTAGCAGTTAGGGTCAATGTAAACTTTAAAACATTTTTTCATTCAGTAAACAGTGAACAGCAAGGTACTAGGTGCTCAGATGCAAAAGTGAAAAAAACACACCCAAAGCCCTGCTTTCACAGAGCCTACACTCTGGTGATGTAAGAACTGATCTGTGGGGTCTAATCGGCATTAGCTTGTCATCAGTGCAAGTAGCAGGTGGCAGGTGCTGTCTCAAGATGGTGACTGGCACAGCGGAGCAAGTCAAGAAGACCAAGGGGTAAAGACTATAGTCAAAAAAAAAAATAGGGAAGGGTCAGGTGACTCTTCCTTTACTGTCTCAAGCACCCAGCTTGGTCATCTTTTTACCTCAAGCTTCACCTTTACTGCACATAGTAAGGATGATCCTTCAGATCACCCTGACCCCGCCCCATCCCCAATTCCTTAGCACCCTTAACTCCAATCACCTCCACTTTCACTCTGCCTGTCCCTTGGGCTAACGCTGTCTCTACCCTAACCACTCTGCTAATTCCTCCACCAGAGAGCCACTTGATAATCCTTAATGTCTCATCAAGAACCTCAGTTCTATATCTGCTCCTCTGTAAGCCCACCATCCAAAAGTGTTATGTACAGAAACGACCTTCTCCTCTCTCTTCACTATCAACCTCCTTAAACAGGAGTTATCAACCCTTACCATATTCCTCTTTCCTCCCACTCACTCCTTAAGTCTCTGCAAGCTGGCTTCCTCCCCAGTCATGCTCTAACCACG